AAGACTTTCCTAAAGAACGTCAGCAGATTTGTTAGACAAGATTTTCCCTTTGTAAACCCATGTTGAGAGTCATAGATTAATTTGTTTTCTCTAAATGCGTCGGATGCTATTTGCTATAATTGATTCAAGAAATTTCCCCACTACTGACGTCAAACTAATCGGCCGGTAATTTGACGGTGATGCTCTGTCTCCCTTTTTGAATATGGGTACAGGTTGTACCTCTCTAGTCCGGCATTCTGTGGTCCGGAACGATTTTAGTTTGTCCAATAGGTAGATAGGCAGCTTTTTTTTTTTTTTTCTGAATTATTATTATTATTACAGGAGTATTAAATTTTTGCCCCTCAGGCCCCAATGTGGGTCAGTGACCTATGCCCGGGTGGGCTAATCCCCTTAAAAAAAAAAAAAAGCCGCGGGAAATTAAGGTTTGTTTACATCCGGCAGTTCGGCTGCTCTCTCTCTCTGCTTGTCTATACAGAGTACAACATTTAACCCTTCAATATATATGAGCAGTAAATAAGTGTTGCTTTCATATTCTTATGTAGAGTAATGACGATATATTTTCACATGTGCGCACTTACATACGAGCAGTCTCACTTTTTTTTTACCATTAATGGTTAGCTACTTATATTGTTCCATTTATTAACATTAAATAACATTACAGGTACTTCAAGCAACCATATTCATTTTTTACATTAATTTTACTACAGCTAAACTCAGGGTCTTATTTTCTTCAGTTTTATATGTAGAACCAATCAGTCACTGGTTTCGTAAGCTTTAACATAAACAATGCCGGCAGCCGTCTCGTCTCCTCTAATATTCCACGTATTATTAATAAATTGTATTGTTAATTTTGCACACACGTACATTAATTCAATAAAAACACATTCAGAAACATTAATTAAAATATATATGAACAGTAAATAAGTGTTGCTTTCATATTCTTATGTAAAGTAATGACGATATGTTTTCACGTGTGCGCATGCGCACTTACATATGCGATCTCTCTTTTTCTTTACCATTATCGTAAGCTACTTCTATTGTTCCATTTATTAACATTAAATAACATTACTTAAAACAACCATATTAATTTTACTACACCTTCAACCAAGGTCTTATTTTCTTCAGTTTTATATGTAGAACCAGTCAGTCACTGGTTTTGTAATCAACGAAAACAATGCTGTGTCATTTCCTCATGTGTTTTAATTTTCGACGTATTATTAATGAATTGTATTGCTCATTTTGCACACATAAACATTAATTCAATAAAAAAGACATCCAGTAATAAACAATAATGAATCTTTTGTACATAAGAGAAATGACACTGTTTACACGATTATGCACGTCGTCTGCACGTTGGCGGGCCGTTCAAACCCGTCGAAATTCAAGTTTCAGCCGTCAAAATTGTTATTTATTTATTTTTTTGTGTTCCAATAAAATACGTTAAGAATTAAAAACTCGCGAAATTTGAGAAGCTACTATACGACATTTAACCCTTCAATATGTCTTCAAAGAGACCATAACGCAGAGAAAGTGGTGCTAGTGCTTCCAGGCATAAGCACAAGTCACTATCTATCCAGGAAAAGGGTGAATTTCCATGGTCCGGCACCGGTCAGGTCCCGAGGTTGCCGGACTAGAGAGGTACAACCTGTACTACATTTGCCTGTTTACACAAATCAGGCACAACTCCAGTGGTTAATGATTTTATAAATAAATTTACGAGGGGTTCGCTCGAGGGAAAATTTAATACAGCCATGGGGATTTTGTTTTCTTTAATTTATCTCTCTTCTTAATAACATCCTCTTTTCTGATAGTATTATTCTTTAATTTCTCTTCTTCATTTCCCTTAAATATCAGTTCCACCTCTGGAATTTCCTCGTGAGTTTCTTCTGTGAAAACTGATAAGAAGTAGCTGTTTAATGCTTTGCTTATTTTCTCAGTATCATCGATCACTTCTCCTCTCTCTGACTTTAAAGGTCCCACTTTGTCCCACTTCGTTGTGTGAAGAGAAAGAACACGTGGAAATTGAGTGACAAACTTGAAATAATTAAGAAACTAGAACGTGGTGTGAGCAATACTGTTCTAATGGAAACATACGACATTGGAAAGTCTACAATTTATGATATAAAAAAGGCAAAGAATAAAATTTGAATTCACAGCTTTTTCTTTAAAACTGCTCGTTTTGATAAATGAAGCATGCTATATTTGCTAATGAATAAACTATCAAAATGTACCTGTTCATCTCTTCTTTATTCTTCCTTAAATTTGAATTTTAAAAGTACTGCCTGAGAATCCGGAAAATCCGAAAATCCGGACCGACCTAATCCCCAAGCAGTCCGGATTTTTGGACTTCTACTGTACCTGGAAAAAGCCTCTGGGATTCGCCTTGGATTCTCTTGCAATCCTGATTTCGTAGTCCCTCTTTGCCTTCCTTACATTTTTCTTAACATTCCTAGATAGTTCATTATACCTATTTCTGAGCTGCTCCTCCCCTTCCTGTCATGTTTAAGTTTTTTGGTCATCCACCTTGGCTCATTCTTATTTGATCTAATTTTTCTGTATGGTATATTTTGTTCTTGTGCTTTACGTAATATACTTGTGAATATATTATAGTTATGATCAATGGTTGTGTCGCTTGTGACCTCACCCGTTCCTACCGGGGACTGACCTGACTGTTCCCAGGTACCTTCTTAACCCCCCCATAATCCACCTATCGAAAGTTTGGGACTCTGACCATATTGTCATTGTTTTTCATTTCCCAATTTAGGGTGAACCTGACTTCTTTGTGATTACTGTTCCCTAGTTCTTCCCCTATTGTGATATCTCTGATAATATTTTCTTTATTTGTTAATACTAGGTCTAATATATTGTCACCTCAAGTAGGCTCTGTAATTACTGTAGTTGTTTTAAAAAATTGTCCTGTACTGTGTCTAGGAAGTCTTCAGATACATAGTCACCTGCAAAGTTGTTCCAATCACTATTTCTGAAGTTGAAATCCCCCATAATTCACAGGTTGTTGTATTTTGCTGCCCCACTCATTTCCTGCCATATGGGCTGAGCTGCTTCTTTCCCAAGAGTTGGGGGCCTGTAATCATTCCCATTATTAGTTTTTCTCTTCCTTCCGCAATTTCTACCCATACAGACTCGGTTCCTATTTCACCCTTTTTGAATTATTAATACATATTAATGTATCCCTGATAAAGAGTGCGATCCAACCCCCCTTCCTACCTCCCCTGTCCTTGTGAAAAAGGTTGTACCCTTCTATGTGGTATTCTGATAAAGAGTTCTTGCTCGCCAGATTCCTCCAAGTTTCGGTGATTGCTATGACGTCTACATCTTGGTACATACAACAGCTCTCAGCAAGTCTATTATATTTCTAACGCACCTCACAGTAAAATAACATTTGTAGGAACTTAGTTGGTAACGGCAAAATATCCACTGCCATAATTGTAACATATACAAATTACAATCCCTATACCTAATTTGTGATAGTGGTTTTCATTACAAAACAAGTTAAAAATTCAGTACTAATACTATGTAGTTTAGGTGTAAAAGAATGGGTACCGGATATATCAAATTTTCCAATTATTATTTGTACGAATAAAAAAAATTCACCTACAGCAGTACCGGTAGCAGCTGGAGTTTAAGTAAACTATCGCCCTCCTCCTCCTATGTTAAGTTTCTCATAAATTTACGACCATATTTACTGGCAGCTTTTCTGGAGTTTTACCAAATGACCGCTAACTTTACTAACACATTTAGAATATATATATAACTCGTGAATCAGTATGAAGTGATAAGGTAGTGGCACGTGTACAGCACCTCTCATTCAGTGACTCGAGTATAATTCCCTAGCAAGTCACATGTTGACAAAGGGGTTAAATAGTTACCCTTTTAACACTGCAGTTTCCTTCGGGTCCGACTAATTACCCAAATGTACCCAAATGTAGCCGCAATGAAGTCAAATAATGGTCCTACATGAATAAATCGGACTGCTAATCACTTCTCGACTAGTATTTGGTGTCACAAAGTCACAAAACATTGGTAAACTTAATTTAATCTGAGTTAATAGATCAAGTGCATGTACCTAACCTAATCTAATCTAATCTAACCTAACACAACTCAGATTAAATTAAGTTTACCAATTTTCTTTTTGACTTTATGACACCAAATAATAATCGAGAAGTGATTCACAGCCCGAATTACGCTTGTACGACCATCATTTGACTTCATTGCGGCTACATTTGGCTAATTCCTCGCTCCGTCGGTACATGCACGCGATCTATTAACTCAGATTAAAGTAAGTTTTCCAATTTTTTGTGACTTTCTGACACCAAATACTAGTCGAGAAGTGATTAGCAGTCCGATTTATTCATCTAGGACCATTATTTGACTTCATTGCGGCTATATTTGGGTAATTAGTCTGACCGCCATAACCATAATACAAGCTATCTATTCAATAATTTCTAAAAATCAAATTCCGACCAGACGAAGTCCTTCTTTAAATTTAACACATCTACAATAATAATCAACAATTTATTACAACTTTAATAACATTTAATCCATCTGGTTTCCGTAAATAACAGGTGAACTTAGTTGGACCTTAGAGCAATATTGATGAATCTTTGTTCACTTGGCTCTACAGTGTTGAAGCTCTTACAATACCCACTACCCTCTCCTAAAACATTACCTCTAGTAAGTCTTAAAAGATTCATCACTAATTTTAGTTAACTATTCACTCTGGATAATTAAATGAAATGTCGAATAAAGAGATGAGGGATAAACCTTTACAATTGATTCGCCTGCGTGACATTCCTCCACACTACACTTATCACCTTAATAACTAATACTAACATCAAACTCCCACTAAATTAACACTCCTAGACACGGTTCATGCTCAAAACAGCGAGGTACAGCTAACACTAGGTACAGAGGAGAGAGTATAAGGTGTAGGGGGAGGAAGCGTGACACAAAGGCGCGCCAACCCGCCCAGCGCCACTCACCTCCTGCGACACCCGCCATCCTTGCATCGAACTGGCGCCATATTTCAGCCAGTCTCCATCTTCATCACTACTCAGTTTCTCCGTCACTGGCTCTGATAGATACGCTCCCATATTTTCTTGACAATTCACCTAACAACATGTATGTATTATCAAATAATATTACACACGCTACACAGAACCCGGCAGTCGAGGACCACTCGTCTGTCTTTTCACTTCTGAGTAGGATGAACGGTAGGCATTCCGATTCGATAATTTTATCTTATATCTAAAAAAAATATAAAGATGAATATACATAAAATATTTATTCAAATGAAAATTTATTCCAAGTAATTTTATATTCATGTTCTTACAGATTTTGTATGACAAAGAATAGGTATGTAATTGTCTTAATAGGAATGTTCTTAAACATGCTCTAGCTAGATGTGCCAGATAATTTGAACCGGTTACTGATTTATAATGATACATTTGAATTATTACATATAATACACATTGCTAAAGATACTTTCAATATCTTGAAAGTAATATTCCAAAGACAAATGTTTGATAATAAATCATAAGACTATACCAATAAGTAGTAAAATATCGGATATTTATTTTGTGTCAAGTTGATGAACGTCATTGACACTACTGTGTAGCTGTAATTGAGGCCCTCGCTCTTATTGTAAGGAGGTTCCTGTACTCAACATCTGCATACAAGAACGTTAATTGGAATGATAATTCATATTATTAAACCTACCCCTTAAAAATCTGAAGGTAATTTACTTGAATCTAAATTTTCTATTTTCTTCTTTCTTTTCTTTTATCCTCTTTACCACTGATCGGCTCGTTAGCCGCTTGGGCGATTGGTCACATCTCTGTTACGCACTGTTGGCAAGTACTGGGCATGCACCGGCTCCTGAATGTACCTGAACCTGGTAAATTGTTCCAAGAGTTCACAACTCTCACTCCGAAAAAGTTGCCCTCACAGTTTTCTGGACTTGCTGCTTCTTCAATCTTGAGCTGTGACCCCTTGTGGGGCGAGCGTCCGCCAGCTCCAAGTAAGGACACTCAACTGAGTAGTGCCCCTTGAGATGCTTATACACCTCAATTAGGTCACCCCTTGCCCGTCTGTAGTATAAGCTAGGCAATTTCAGGGGCTCCAATCTCTCGGGTAGCTGAGGTGCTGAAGTGCAGGCACCAGTCTGGTGGCCCTCCTTTGAACATTTCCAACCAACTGACAGTCCCTAGCATATCTTGGGGACCAGACGACGCTAGTCCCTCTCCCCGACACCTAAGTACACGCACACCCTTGTAAACCTTGTAAACAGTGGAGTCTTTCATTACAGGAAAGGACTAGCCCCTCACTAACGGAATTAGAGAATGATGGAAGAATTAAAGTAATTTGAAGGTAAAAAAAATCACAAAATGCAAATGTTCTTGCTAAATGTCGAGCCCCAGTGCATGTTGTTGGGTGATTAAGACTTTAACTGTAAAATACAGAAGAAGATTGGAAAATTATGTGAGGGGATCACTGTATATGCAGAGAGAGCTAAAAACAGTGCTACTTCTGTAGGGACACTGAAAAAATATTTTTACTTTTTTATCCTCTTCACCACTGGTCGGCTCGCTTGCCGCTTGGGCGATCACCGATCGGTCACGTCTCTGTTACGTACTATTGGCAAGTGCTGAGCATGCACTGGCTCCTGAATGTAACTGAACCTGCTGCTTCCAGTGTTGGTGAAGTCTGGCCTTGAAACAGCTCACACTCGGTGCCTTCACAACACTCGCTGGCAGTTTGTTCCAAGAGTTCACAACTCTCACTCCGAAAAAGTTAGCCCTCACAGTTTTCTGGAATTTTGGTTTCTTCAACCTTGAGCTGTGATCCCTTGTGGGGCGAGCGTCCGTCAGCTCCAAGTAAGAACACTCGACTGAGTACACCTCAATTAAGTCCAACCTCGCCCGACTATTGTCGGGGTGACAATAGTCGGGCGAGGTATGCTAGAGACTGTCAATTGATTGAAAATGTCCAAAGGATGGCCATCAGACTGTTGACTGCTCTACGGCTGTAATGACCACGGTCGTGCACGTCAGTAAATTTAAAATCATAGGATTCATATTACGCCCAATAGCCCACAAAACATGTAGCTATGCATTCTTTATTGAGTTGCCCATCTAAGGCGTCCGTTTTCTCATCGCTCCCAAGCTTGGGTGACGTCCATTTTCTCTGACTTCCTGAAACCAACCTCTCAATAAAATGAATTTGAATGTGAGAGAGAACAGCATTGTTTTGAGTCAACTTAAAGATGTCTGATTACAGTTAAAGCGTACAAGATCATTTGTGAGTGATGTTGAAAGCTTTAACTGTCTTTATTGTTAGTAACACTTGTTAAGTGAGTGTCGAGTCTGCCAGTACGAATGGCATCCCATTGTATTGTAGAGGATTTCTCCCCTACAAACGCTGTTTGTCGCTGAGTAGCCGACCCCGCGAATTCCCCAGTGTATGCTTCGTGGTCTAGGTCAACCAGCGCCGCCTTACATGACGGAGGTCAACTATTAAGCCACGCCTACCTCCGCTATTTAAGACCTGACCTCGTGGTGACCTATCTCTCTCTTCTTCTAGCTACAGCCGCAGCAAGCTACACCACCTCCGCCGCTGCCTGGCGGCCCTCGCTCCCGCCGGCGAGCATGGCGACCCACAGGCTGGTCCTCCTCTGAGCACCCTCACCAACCAGCTCTCTCTACATCACGCTTGTAACCACGCTGCCACTTCCCAGCACCAAGCTGTATTATATATCCAATACAACATGTATACAGAGAGCACATTGTGAGTTTCCTTTCTCCATCCCATCCTGAGTGTGAACCCAAACAACACGCGTACCCCACAGTATTGTCCCTGGGAATTGAATTGAATTGAATTTAAACAGTTTATTTAGCCAGAAAAACACAGATACAGAGTGGATAATAATAACAATATTAACATGGCGGAGCCAGTTGAGAACCTGAGCTCTCTTTTATCTCAAGGAAGTATTATGTAACATTTAGTATCATCTGGAATAGTATAATAGCATGATGGTAATAAGAACATTTCATAATGTTACCACGGTTATCACTTCAATATTTATTAATTTTATTTATTATTTTTTTAGTTTATTTTTTGTTAATTATTTATATATAATTCCAATTGCTACTGAAGTTAGATTATTTTGATGCCCAAACATCAGAGAATCTGATATTTGTAGTTTAGTTAGTGTCAGTTGTCTATTTAAGAAAGTCATCAATCTCCTGAACTATTCTGTCAACCTGTATAATCAACAAAATCTAACGTCTCCCTGTGAATAGTTCCTTGTTCGCAGCCATGCTGAGTTTGTGAAACTAGTATTAACAGCGTGTGTATTTGACGTCAATTCCACTTTTTCCTGGCAAGCTCAATCGCTGATTAGATTATAAAAAAAAGCATAAGAAATTCACCTGACCCATGGCATTGGGTTTCATAGTTACTTTTTACTTACTTTTATCCTCTTCACCACTGATCGGCCTGTTAGCTGCTTGGGCGATCGGTCAGGTCTCTGTTACGCACTGTTGGCAAGTACTGGGCATGCACTGGCTCCTGAATGTACCTGAACCCGCTCCAATGTTGGTCAAATCTTGTCTTGAAAGAGCTCACACTTGGTGCCATCACAACACTTTCTGACAGATTATTCCAAGAGTTCACAACTCTCACTCCGAAAAAGTTGCCCTCACAGTTTTCTGAACTTGTGGCTTCTTCAATCTTGAGCTGTGACCCCTTGTGGGGCGAGCGTCTGCCAGCTCCAAGTAAGGACACTCGACTGAGTAGTGCCCCTTCAGATGCTTATACACCTCAATTAGGTCACCCCTTGTCTGTCTGTAGTATAAGCTAGGCAAGTTCAGGTGCTCCAATCTCTCAGGGTAGCTGAGGTGCCGAAGTGTAGGCAACAGTCTGGTGGCCCTCCTTTGAACATTTTCAACCAACTGACAGTCCCTAGCATATCTCGGGGACCAGACGGGGTGACAGTACTCCAGATGGGGGAAGCACTTCACTCTTAAAGATCATTACGAGACCCAATAATATATTTGCCTGATTTACCTTCTTCTCGCTATGGCCCGAGAACTTCAGCTCATTGTCAACATACACACCTAGGTCCTTCTCACATTCAGTCTCAAATAGTGAAGTTTCTTCATCCCGTTGGGACATATGATACGCCTCCTTACTGTTAGTACACCCCAGGTGCATCCTACACTTCGTGACATTGAATCTCAGCAGCCATTTCTTCAACTATTCTTGGAGCCCACAGAGGTCCTTCTGCAGCTCTTCACAGTCCGCTTGGCTCTTGATTTCCCGAAATTACTTGGCGTCATCGGCAAACATTTGTATGGAGGATTGTACAACGTCAGGCATGTCATTTGTGAAACAACCAAACAACAGCGGGCCCAATACTCACACTGTGGTACCCCACTTGTGACAGGTACGGATGATGATTTCGTGCCATTAATCACCACACACTGCTTGCGGTCATGTAGAAAGTCCTCTATCCACGCTAGGACATTTCCCCGAATTCCGTACCCTTCCAGCTTGATTTTCAGCCTTTTGTTGGGTACACTGTCGAAAGCCTTGGCAAAATCTAGGTAAATATTGTCGATATTACCACCCCGTTCCAGAATTTGGGTCCAAATATCCTATACCTTGAGCAATTGTGTTAAGCAGGAGCGCCCCGGCATAAACCGTGTTGGCAATCCTTTACAAGGTTGTTTCGTAGTAGATGTTCCATCGCGGCATCTCTGATAATACTCTCAAGTACTTTACATATTATGCTGGTCAGGCTCACCGGTCTATAGTTGTTCATGGAGTGACGATCGCCCTTCTTGAAGATAGGACTCACATAAGCCACTTTCCATTCACTGGGGACCTTTCGTTCATCCAGGTATTTACAAAACAGGATCTTCAGGGGCTCGGCAAGCTCGTTGCTCAACTCTCTTAGCACTCTAGGATGCACCATGTCAGGGCCGGGACTCTTATGGACCTTTAGCTTTGACAGATTATTTCTAATACCCTCTTTTGTGAACACAATGTGGGTCAGTGCTGTGTCGAACCATCTGTCCTCAAACGCAGGCAGGTTAATCGCATCCTCTCTTGTGAACACTGAGAAAAAGAAGCTGTTCAATGCCTCAGCTTTATCCTGGTCAGAATCTGCGTAACTACCATCTTCAAGCCTCAGGTCTGATACTTCTACTCGCATTTTTAATTTCAACTTTGCATATCAGTAAAACGCCTTTGGGTTTGACTTGACTTCGCTTGCAACCAGCCTCTGGAACTCCTTTTCAGCCCTTCTACATTCTATCTTTTGTTGGTTTCTGGCTCTTGCATACATCCTCCTGTCCTGCTCATCATTTGACTCAACCCACGTAGGGATCCCCTCGTATTCCTAGAGGCACTGGGTTTGTTCTTGTGTATGTATTTATCGATCAAATGGGTCACTTTACTAGTTATGATATTCAGCGTAGTGTCTGCGTTCTTGTGCCTTAATGAATCAGGCCAGTGGATACCCCTCATCTCTTCCCTCATCACATTGTAATTTCCCCTGTAATATTTGCACCTTGGCCTGGCTATTGGAGAGTTCCAGGTTTGAGGCATTCTGGCTAACAAAGATATTACTGTATTGGAGTAAAAGCATTGGAAAACCACATTTAGGAATTATGGGGGAAACTTTTGTCGTGGCCCAAAGCATTTGACAGGGTATGGCACAAGTCTTGTCTTTCTAAACTTCCCTCTTATGGTTTATCTCCCCCACTTTGTTCTCTAATTTCTAGCTTCCTTGAGAGCCGAACCATGGCAGGTGTTGTCGAAGGATCAATCTCTTGCCTTTCTTGAACAATAATGGTGCTCCACAGGGTTCTGTTCTTTCACCTAATCTCTTCCTTCTTTTTATCAATAATTTACTCCACACTACTATAAATTCTGTCCATTCTAACGCTGATGATTCTATTCTTAACTCTTCTTCACATTTTCCCTTCCCCCTAATTCTCAACCTAGATCTGTTTCTAGAGCTGATATCATTTCATCTATCAATGCGGATCTGTGCAGCATCTCCGAATGGGGAGATAGAAACTTGGTTAAATTCAATAGTAAGAAAACTCGGTATTTACCAATTACACTTTCCAAATTAGATGATCTCTCGCCAATCACATTTCAGGACGCAATCATTCTGGCAAATTCTAAAATAGATAGGCTAGGCCTCACCATTTCCTCTAATATAATATACCATGGAAGCCACACATCCTCAACATTGCTAAAGCTGCCTCCCTAAAGCTGGGAATGCTGTACAGATGCCGTAGCTACTTCACTCCTGAGCAGTTGCTATATAAGGGATTCATCCATCCTAACTTGGAGTACCTGTACTGCTCTCATATTTGGAGTGGCTCTTCTTCTTCCCTTTCTCTTCACTGCAATGTTGCTCCACTCTCTCTCTTTTACTGGTACTTTAACGGAAAATGTTCAGTGGATTTGCCATCCTGTGTACCACTGGCAAGGCCATGGGCACGAAACACTCGTCTTGTATGCGGTACCCACCGTTTCTGTGAAGATGTCGGTCACACTAGAATAACCCGTTGTAATACACCCCCCTTTCGTCACACAGCCAAACTGTGGAATGCTCTGCCTTCTTCTGTGTTTCCATACTACAGTATTACAATCTGTCTCACTTAAAAAAGCTGGTTTTCCAGCATCTTCGTGGTGTATATTAATTCAATCTTTTTCTTTTCTATTTCTAATTTCAACCCCGTTGTGGGTCGATGACCTGTGCCCTGGTGGGCCATTCCCTGTAAATAAAAGAAACAGGAAAAAAAGTAAAAGTACTAAGAATTTGAGTACCGGGTACTTTTTAAATAGTGATTACAAAAAAAAATGTTACTCGAGTAAAGTACTGTACTCAAGTATATTTATTTAGCGACTTTACAACTCTGCTCAAGGGTAAAAAGAGTTTATTTTTGCTCCTCTGTTCTTCTACAGGAGTGAAATCTTCATGAGCATGTTTATCAACACAACAAACTGTCATAATAAACTCAAAATAATGTGATAAAATGTTATAGAAACTCATAATAAAGAAAGTATTTTATTTTCATTTTCAATCTCATTTTTTTTTTCATGCAAAATGAGTTACAGGTACAGGAATTAATAGTAATAATTTGTACTGTCTGTTAAAAAACTTTCTGCCACTGTAGATTTATGACAAACAATCGACCAAACGGAACAATATTGTAAGCGCCATCATTTTGACAACAGGAAAACGTTAAGGAAATGTATAATTTTTCAGAGGAGAAAACTACAATATATTAAATGCATAATCTTTGAAAAGAGAATGAAAGAAAAATGGAGGATTGGGTGATGTAGTCCCATTTAGGTGAGCAGATGGCTTGTGATTTACTGGACTTGCTACCGGGTAATCCTAAAAACAGAGCTACCCAGTGTCATGATTTGATAGTCTTGAAGCAACAAATTTTTCAACCATACTTGGAGTCACTTTTACTTTTATCAAAATGGTTATAGCACTGTACAACAAGTTGCCATCAAAAGCAGAGCCCCAATAATTACTAAATAGCAGGTCTTATGTTAGTGTTTATTCTGAAAGATGCCTCTCTTCTATAGAAACAATTTTCTGGCAAATCTTCTCCTTACTTATTAAACCAGACACATACTGTGCTGTGTAGGATGAGAAGAGACAGCAACAGAACAGGGAGCCAATGAGGTCCCCCACTCACTCTGCAGCCAAGTGAAATTATGAGACATGGGGTTCCTGAGTAGTGAAAGGTAATGGCAGAGGCTTTAGATAAAGTCTTTAGGAGGAAAGTATTTCTTTTCTTGTATTCATGGAAAAGGAAGAAATGTCTACAATCTTCAGATTTCCAAACATGAACACCCTTTCTCATAACTCTCACTTATACTGTATAAAATAGGTATTTTAATGTCCTCCTTATTGTATTAACAAATAAACTACTACAGGACTGGACTTTCATGTAAAGATTCTCCAAGATACCTTCATGCCAAAATTATTGAGATTTAAAAACTGGTACAGTTCGACCCTGTTTAACGAACTCAAGACAACAGCCATCGGGTAATTCCAAACTAAGTCAGGTACTCTTACCTCCATCTGCTATGTGATAATTTTTCCATCATCTGAAAGTACCACTGCACTTTCAGATGCGGTAACTCTAAACAATGCCAATATCATCAGCAGTAGCCCACACTTGGTGCTGTTTACAAGACATTTGTTTGTCAAACAGTGTAGTATTTTATTTAGCTGATGGCTTATTTTTTAATATCATTTACTGCATTTTGTCATTCAATTTCTTCTTTTGTCTTAAATTAAGTGATTTTAGATGTATATAAGGACTTAGGCTATGATATAGTGGGATTTTAAACTTTGTTCTGTAAGTACGGTATGTACGTTTCTAATTTATGTACAAATCCGACTTAAGAACATCCTCAGAAACGGAACCCGTTCTTAACCCGGGGACCCCCTGCATTAATAACAGTCAAAGGATGACAGACCACCTTTTGCCAACAATGATGGTCTCCTCATCCATCCCTGTCCAGTACATCTGACTCAACCCTTGTGTCGTGTACCCCCCATTTGAGGCTGACAGCAGAGGGTGAAGGAAAGGGCATTTGATCTATCCAAAGGATCAATAGATTAACCAGGTTGACATCAAAAGATCCTTTCCGAGAATTTGTTGGCCACCAGGAAGTCCCTCAGTACAGTATTATAAGAACTGCCTGGCTTAGGGTCTCGCCTAGATTAACACAGAAGGCTTAAAAAATATTATATATACTGTACGTATATATAAAGAACAGCAATGTCCAAATGAGATAAGTTTCTTTTTAAAAATCTTTACAGAATAAAATTTAAGACATACACTAAGCATTTAGCTTCATCACTTTCTCATTCATGTGCATCCAGTACAGTAGTCCAATAGCTATCAAATCTGATACGGATTTGGGGTTCACTATTTGACAGTTTCAGTACTGACACATTGCTCATCACTAAAATAACTGTCTTTTCCTAAATCACTGATACCGTCGTTCTTGCAGGAGTCGAATAATCATAGGCACTGGTGTTTGTGGAGCAGTCTGGTTTGTAGGAGGAAATTGTAAGTTCATGAAAGAATTAATGTCAGTCACTCCTTGATGACATATAACAGCAGGGTCATTATCATGGAGGGTAGAGGTGTTTTGAAGGGCTGGATCACTATGGACACCTTCATTTCTCAGAGGGGCACCAGTAGCTTGATTAAGTGAATTGTTTTGAATGACAGTGTTATTGTGCAAAGAAAAGTCACTGGAGAGCATACAGGAGGTTGTCCCAAGGACTGAATTAGGTATTAATGAGTTACTTTTAAGTGAAGAAGCAACAACTGGTGTAAATGACTGAATTGTAGAATGGACATTGGAAGTGAGTGAAGGTCCTGTGGGGTCAGCAACAGGTTCTACTGATGATTGGTAAGTTGGAACATGTGACTGCACCATTGCTTCACTTGGCAAGATATTAACTACAGGAACAATGTTTGCTTTATTAATACATTTTGTTTTCTGGGAAGATGGGAACTGTTGCTTCATGTTCTTGGTTCTGGTCTTTGGTTTGGTTTTGGCAAAAACATTGGTTAGGATACCAGGAGGCGGGGGAGGAGCAGTGTCAGGAAGGTTCAGTTTACGTCGCTGTGCAACACCAATGTAAAGTGTCTTATGGACCTTTTTTACATGTTCAGATATGCTGCCTGGTCCTGAAAAGCCTTTACTACAGTATGCACACTGAAATGGTGTTTCTCCAGTATGCTTCCTCTTGTGATATGTAAGATGAGAAGCAACCTTGAAAGCTTTATTACATATATCACACACATGTTTTCTAATATCCTCATGAACAACATTCTTATGAGTTCTAAGGTCACTTTTACTACAGAACCCTTTACCACATACGGGACAGAGATGCTTTCGTACCTCCTCTCCTCCATGTATTCGACGCTTGTGATTCACCATATCGTTGAGCCTGTAGAACATCATATTACAATCAGGGCATGGATGTTCACTATCTTTATTATGTACAGCACTCAAATGAATCTTCATGTCTCTCGAATCTCCAAAAGGTTTTCTACAAATAGGACAAGGAATTTCCATACATCTAACCTTTAGGTGAACGCGGTCTACGTGTTTACGCAACTCACTTGGACACAGGAATCTCTTTTTACAAATGTCACACTGTAAACGTCTAACCTCCACCCCCTGGTGAACTCTTCTTTGGTGAGTCTGCATGTTGGTCTTCTTGTTGAATATTTCTTCACAGTTGGGGCACTTAAAGTTTTGTCCCTTGTCATGGATAGTTTTTATATGGACTTTTAATGTTGCAGGACTTGAAAATGATTTATTACATACAGTACAAGGGTGTTCCTCTTGCAAAATGCCAATGTGAACAACGTGGCAGTGTTGGCGTAACTCGGTGAAAGTATCAAAGACATTATCACAGCTTGGGCAGGGGTAGTGGACCTCCTCCTGGTGGGCTTCAGCCAAATGAGTTGTGACATCCTGTAACATGTACCATTGTTAGTCCTGAAGCCTCCCCATCCTTACCTCACTTGTTACACCGTGTCTTATCACATCACCTTAGTCATGATTTCACATCTAAAATTTGCATGAAGCAACAACAGGAGTACATAGTGAATTAGGGAAGAGGGAGGTGACTTAGAACTAAGAGCACACTGAATCCTGGATAATTCACTAATTCAATAGTATTAGGACAATAAGTCGATTGAATTAGAATAAAAAATTAGCCAACCTGGGCACAGGTGACTGACCCACATCGGGGCCTCGGAGGCAAAAAAATAAAAATATAACACACAAGTGGAAAAAGTAAAACAGATCAAGAGTGAAAAACGATATATATATTGTGTTGTCAAAGTAAGAGAAAGTCAGTCAGATCAGTAACCCAGGACTTGATCACAAATTTTGTGATGCCATATGGCAGCAGGGTCTACCATTAGACAACACATTATGCTTCCAATATCTTCCCAAGTGGTAGTACTTCCCTGTTTGATAGCTGTTTACTACCTCACAAAAGTAAATGCCAGATGTATCAAGTAAAACATGTACAGTGCAGTACAGTACCTGTATATGGAGCAAGTAACAAGTTGATCACTAGATGTAACTGTTAGACTAAAGTTAGGATATAAGTACCTCTGACAGTGTGTCCTTCAACCAGACGTGAACAAAACTAAATGTAAAGTGTGCAGCCAGATATGTGGCCACACACTAACAATACATCTTAGACTGAAAAATATTTTTTTTTAGGGATAGGGGGAAGTCTACTGTGTTCAATATTAAAACTACATTTTGCACCTATTAGCGATGTTAACTCCTCTGTACAAACAGTGTACAGTACTGGAAATAGTCTGTAACCTAAATGCCACATTATCCTGACCACTGGGGTTTGTGATCTCTACTTTGTAATCCCCTTTACTCTACTACCCACAGGGTGAGTATGGGGTGCACAATAAACTTGATGCTGTCTGTGGAAAAAAAAAAAAAAATCTTATTCTATAAGTTTCCAGTATTTGTCTCATTGTTTTAGCTAACCTTATTATTTATTCCATTGTTTTGTCTTAAAAATAACTTATCTTGAGCAATCTCCTGTAGTACCACATTGTGCAGGCCTGGTGTATGTTGAGTGTCCACACTTGTCACTTGTACTGTACAAGTGAAAAGTGTATAGTACAAGTTGTACAGTAGTCCCTTGCCAACCACAGGTTCCTGAAAAACTACTTGGCTGGCAAGACTAAAGGCTTATGGGAAATAGGGGGTTAGGTTCCACAGCCGTAGATAACACTCGTCAAAACCTAATTAAGTTGTCTATTCCTTCAATAATTTTTTTATTTTTTTATTTAGAGGGCTTTTGTGTGTATGTGCGCATGTGTGAGCGCCACAGCTGCACAGCGACAACAAGCGACCACGCGGTCGCCACTTTAAAACGAGCAATCAAACTGTGACAACGTACAGTATGTAATTTTGAGTCCTACTCTTTCCATTTACAGAGTACTGTACAAGCCCATAATAATGGCTCCTAAAGTACATAAACTTCGTTGTGTGAAGAGAAAGAAGAACACGTTGAAATTGAGTGACAAACTTGAAATAATTAAGAAACAAGAACATGGTGTGAGCAATACTGTTCTAATGGAAACATATGATATTGGAAAGTCTACAATTTATGATATAAAAAAGGCAAAGAATAAAATTCTAGAATTCACAGCTTTTTCTTTAAAACTGCTCGTTTTGATAAATAAAGCATACTATATTTGCTAATGAATAAACTATCAAAATGTACCTGTTCATCTCTTCTTTATTCCTCCTTAAATTTGAATTTTAAAAGTACTGCCTGAGAATCCGGAAAATCCGAAAATCCGGCCCGACCCAATCCACAAGCAGTCCGGATTTTTGGACTTCTACTGTACACATTTTGTCTATTTAATTAAATGTGAATCAACTATATTTAAAACAGATTAATAAAAATTAAATAGTAAAATAAATTTTACAGTACAGAAATATTTATCTTCGTGACATTGTTGATGATGGTGGATGTTGTGGAAGATGTGATTGTTACAAGGAAAAGGAGGGCAGAGGCCCATAGTGCCTCTTACTGATGCTATACTCTCCCCAGGTGCTAGTCTACCTAGTACTTCAACTTTCTTTTCTATTATCATTATGTTCCTTGCCCCTTTTTACCTTCTCATCTTCGTCACTAACACCCAATGAATGCTTCGGGGCCATAGTTAAGGTCAAAATCAGTTATTTCAGTAGATAATAAGTGATAGAATACGGATCAGTACAGTACATCAGCATGTATGCTACGAGATCACAACACTTAGAGAGCAGTAGCGGGAGATCTGATGCTGTGTGGAGGAATACATTAGACCGCGGAGGGATAAAGACACTGCGTTTATCTGTGGTTACATAAAACTAAATACTACGGTTGGTGAAATGGAATACAGAGTGAAAACTGTGAATGCACAGAATCTTCAGCAGTTGGCGAGGGTCTACTATACATAACAATAGTCCCGTACTTACAATATATTGCTTTCAGTGCCTTTTTTTCTCAAACTAAAATGTATTCTATTTTGTTAATGGAACATGAATAATAAATGCAACTTTTGCTTGACATATTCTTCTTTTAATATCTCTTACTTTTCACCATCACAGCTTAGGTTATTTCCCAACTACAATTCACAAAATATTTCACCTGTTGAATAATCATGTGACCCCAACAAGGCTGGAAAATTTGATATTGAGAATATATCCTAGGAATGTGTTAGAGAGCTCTGCTAGGGTGACATGGTTAGTGCTGGAGGAGGTGCTGAAGCTAACTCAGTTACAAGAGTCAGAAGTGGGTGAAAGAAGTTTACGGAGCTGTTGCATGTATTGACATAAAAGAAGACCTCATCTTTGCTTGAAAGTTTTTACAAAGCCAGCATAAGAAGTGTACTGTTATATTGCAGTGAAACATGGCAGGTGAAGAGATAGTCTTGGCCAGGACGTGTTGGTGTGAATCTGATGTCATGCTAAAAATTATGTTTATGTTTAAGATCATACCTAGTATTTCTCAAAAGGTAGGGTCGAATTATACAAGATATATAGTATATGAAAACTCAGGGTTTTTTTTACCTAAAAATCACGAGTTGAACTAAAAATTTAATTGGTTTATACATGAGTACATACAGTACACAGGCTTTAGCTGTGTGAAGACAACTTTTACCATTTCATGTTGGGCTATAATGTTTAGTGTGCCACAGGCCATCAAAGGTACATATATTAGGAGATAGAATTGGGCTCGACCAAAGACAGTAACAAGAACTTCCCTCCAAATTTTGTGATCTTCAAACACAATCCCACTTTTCCACAGGATTTAAATTCACTGGTAATGTTTTCAAGTATACTGTAACAACTATCAGGACATATCACTGGAAGGAATGGGGATTGTTATCACCTCCTTACTTCCCAGACTGCACATTGAGGGAGAACCCCCACAAAAAAAGAGTTTCCTAACAGAACAAAAAATGACAAGTGGCAGAGTAGGGAATAATGTTAACTTCATCAACATCCATGCTGCTCTCCAGAAACACATCCACTGTATTAATTGAGGGTTAATGTCCTTCTCTTTCAAGAAAGTCATACTGTAATATTAAGCCCCATAAAAATCCCTCAAAGAACTGCAACAATAACAAGGTTGTGTAATTGAAAGCTAAAGTTTTTTTTTATTAGTAACAGAAGTGCAGTGTGATCCAAAGGTCTTAGGTGGGTGCCATCCCCATAGGAATTACTGTACTGTACTGTACCCATTAACCTAAACTTTGCATCCACCTTTACTGAGCAGAACACTAGTTCAAGCCAAAGATTCAAGAGCCATTCTACACCAATATCATAATATAAGTCTGACCAAAACTTAGTGTTCCACAGTTTGTCTTTGATGAAATGCTCAGTTAAAGATCTCAATATACAATATTTCATTCTATATTAAATCTCGTGACCATAACAGTAAGCACACATTGCAATACTGAATCATAAGGTTAAGAACTCTCTACTTCTTACTCAATGAGTGCAATAAACAGTGCCTATTGTGTAGGTGATACCTGTAATATTACTGCATGGGAGGGGGGACCTCAGATTTACTTCACCCTTGGGTAATATACAGTGGTCCCTTGGTTAACGAACACAATTCGTTCCACAGAGTCGTTCGTTAACCGAATCTATTATTTCAATGGAATATTGGGTAATTGGTTCCAACTCACAGAAAAGTACATACAAAGTATAAAAAAAAATGCAGTATGTATAGTACACTTACTTTGAGGTGTGAATGTAGAATGTTGCTGGTTGATGATGATGATGGGAATTAGAAGTGGGGGGTGGAGGAGAAGGGAGAAGAGAAGCATTTTAATGCTTGTTGGATGGTGAGTCACCTTCCAAATATAATGTCAGGAACCTCTGGACTGACTCAGTACATTGGTTCTAATGCTTTCTTCATGTCCTCAACTGACAATGGGGTTAGGGACCGACGACCAGGTCGTAAGTCGAAAATGCGAAAATAATACGTACATAGAAAATCTAAAATGGGTGTCTCATTTTCTTCTCAGCACCACGAGAACTCTCACTTTTACGCTTGCCAGTTATTTTAGAGGGATTTACAAAAAAAAAATTTGTCAGTACACAGCGCGATCATTAACGTCGGGACTCGAAAATACGTAATTTGAAAAATATTTTATACGACTGCGGGGTCATATGTCCGGGTGGTCGTAAGTCAAGGGGTACCTGTAATTTCCTGTTTCACTGGAATTGGAATCGCCTTTCTAGATTTTTTTGGACCCATGTTTGATGCAGTAACTTCACCAATAAAATTTTAAGTTCACTAGCTGTAATTAATGATTATTTTATTTAAATCAACACTGCACCACACTATATATTATCAATATGTTAACTAAATTTCAGAATGACCAATAATTTTAACGTAAAATGTAAAAATACTCTGTATTCAAAGAGACCAA